GTCCAAGAGAGTTCTCCCTTAAACAAAGAATCCCTTGCCCAGGCATGCAAAGCATCACCTCATATATTAATGCATTTCATATATGATTTTATTTACTTCATTTATTTGTTTTCTTTAGATGGTGGCTAATACAATTTCAATATTAAGCTCCTTGAATTACACTTCATTTAAATGTGAGTGTGTGGGTGTGTGTCATTGGTTTTCTAATAAGAATCATTGCTTAAATTATTAGTACTCTAAATGCAATTCAAATAAACTGTTCGATGTGATCGATGGTAGCAGCATAATGGAGACCTCGTGGACCTCAAGTTCGATGGAGATGGAGATGGATTGAATATGGCATCACCAGAAAATCTCTGTCTTGATGAAGTATGTTCATTATGCATATATTTATATTACATGTCGAGCACTAGTTAGTTTCTCATTGGTTAGGTTAAGTTCCTCGTATATGCTACGTACATATGGGGTTAGCTCAAGTAGTTAACGAGGGTAGGAAATTGAGTTAGGATTCGGATATATTAAGGGTTCGATCACTTCGAATATAACCAGATTATAAAAAAACACATATGTCCATATGGGTAGGTTAAGGTAAAAATTGAGGACTAGCTAGTCCCACACACTGGTTTAAAAGTGCCTAATGTCATTGTATTGAATTTGATCAAAGATATTACTTTGATAAGTTCCCTTATAATCACTTAACATTCTTTTTGGTTTATTGCTGACAGGATTGGGAGAACATTGTGGAGTCATTATTCAAGTGAGGGATATGAGAGAGAGTGATAAATCCTGAATACATCATGTGATGAAAAGTGATATGAAGCTTTTGATGGAAGAGATTAGAGAACTCGTAGTATATAAATAATAAGAATGGAGTTTGCTTAAACTCTCCATTCATCTTCTATAATTTGTAGTTTGAACTGTTGTTGAATGTTTCTTCTTTTTCTAGAAGGCAACTAGCCATGACTTAATTCGCAAACTTATTTGGTTTATAAATAATTATAAAAATGGCAGACATTTTAGCCAAAAATCTTGTATTTGTTTTCTTATTCTATTTTCTATCTGTTTAATTGTTTGCTTTTGAAGATCTGATCCTAACCATTTCAATAGGTTAAAAAGAGATCCATCATGTTAACCCCTTGTTTCTGCAGGGCTGAGAAATTGCTTATCCATCCATTTTGGATGTGGAGTCCAGTCTCTGGTTTCAGAGCCTAGTGTCACGGGTCGCACATAGACAAGTGCTACCGTGACTCCGTTGGAACATCTATGCGCTTAAGAGGAAGTCTAAGTGTGGAAAAGGCTAGAGCTTAAGAGCTAGAATGGTTGGTGTTGGCCGGGTTGCACTTGTGAAGGGTATTTTGGGTATTTCTGAAGGTTACGGGAGGACCCTGAAGGAACCAAGAATACCGAAATGTTCGTGATGTCGAGACGCAGGATACGCAACTGACGGTTCGCCATTCGGAGTTCGTATGAGGGAGTTATGCCCAATTATGACTCCTCGTGCATAGGTGATGTTCCCTCCTGGCAGAATGCTAAATGCATAAAATGCTATATAGGGGGTGACATGGTGTCATGCTCTCCACCACCCCTGGTGCTTACACCCTTGTGGCACTAAGCGAGCATCCTTATGACATTGGAGGTAGTCATAAGAGCGAGCATAAGATTGATGAAGGATAATCTGTGTCTCCGAGGGAAAGGAATTCCCGAGGACAGTACGAACACGCGGGGCCGTTCGTATTGCGCATCGTGGCAAAGAGTGAGGTCAACGTATGGCATTCGCTATGCCATTGGCTAGCGAGGCATTTGACAATACTCGATGGACTTGGCTTGGGTTCGGCCTTGTCCAAGATGGGAAGGA